TTGTACAAATAGAAGACTCCTTCCACACAGTTTTGGCTGGATATTTTTGATTCACTACGGCCATTTTGTATCTGACCCAAAAGTTTTTATCTGGATCACTACCAACAGATTGGTCACTCTCCAGATAGATGCAAATGGTGTCAAAGGACTCATACACACCTGCACCATTAGATATAAATTTAAAATAAAAACTCCCGATAATTTAAAAAAAAAATGCAAACAGCAAGGCTACCACCTAAGTAAGATGTGTAAAAGACTTACCAATACGGAGCTCACAACCACCAGCTTGAAAGAATTTACTAAAAATTTTACGGGTCTCCATTATTTCCTTGAAGGACAAAAAGTTCTCCACCTTCCATGTAAATGAACTTTTTTTTGCGACCTTATCCATCAGAGAGCTAGAACCGGTTGGCTCCATGTCTTGATCATTAAAATCCTGCATTACAGATGTCTCTTTTAATATAAGAACCTCTGCTGAGAATATTACAGTATCCTGAACAAGAAACCCAGAATCCTGATCAAAGAGGCTAGTAAGTGTGACAAATTCACGCCATCCCCAGTCTTTTGCAGCTTTGGAGTACCGGTTTTGAGACTCCTTTGTAACAGATTTCTCTTCCATCTTCTGGTTCACGACCGACAGACGGTGACTCACAAAACAACTCCAATCACTGGAAGTATTTCTTGAATCTGTAACTTCAAGAAAGACTGAAAGGTGACATGGTGGTTGAGACTGCCCTGATACCACCAAGTAGAAAGGATGGTTTAATCAACGTGTCCTAAAACAAAGATTAATAGTAAACTACAATATGTGTGTCTTGTTAATCAACTTAACACAAAACTACGCCAATATTGATAGAATAACATGATATCAAGGACATCAAGGATTCAAGCAAAATCTGACTAAATATCAGCTAAACTCAAACCATTTCCAGCAAGAAGATATTGAGTGTATGCGTAACTATAACCCATGCATTTCAAGTTTTTCACCTTGATAGCCATATTTATCAACAAATTTTTACTTTAGACCAGATACTATCCATCTATTTTTTTTTCCCTCAGAGTAAACAAAATATACTGAGCAAGATATGTTTGGAATAAGTTCAGCTGAGAGAACCATGACAGAGAATAAAAATTAATTAGTAGTTTTCAGCTATGGCAGGTTAGCATGTCAAACAAACTGCAATTTTTTTTTTTTAATAAGAAACCGAACTTCTGTTGAATCTAAGTGTTAAACACAGCATCAGATATTATCAGCAGATACGATATATGGGATAAAATTATAGATGCTCGGGTTTCTTTCTTTCTTTCTTTCTTTCTTTTTTCTTCCTTGTAGGATATCTGGTCCTCTTTTTAATATTTCTTATTGATATAATGTCGGTTTCATGTATGTTATCCCATAGATGCTCGGCTTTCTTTCTTTCTTCCTTGTAGGATATGGATATCTCATCCTCTTTTTAATATTTCTTATTAATATAATGTTGGTTTCATGTATGCAGCAGAAGCTTCTTGGTAGAGGTTTGGGCATACCTCGAGGATAAACAATGAGACGACAGTCCCGGTTCCCAACCTGGAATCTCCGGCTCTTGATGCAAAGACCTGTAATCTTCCGCTTCTTCAAAAGATCCTTTAACCTTGTAAAGTTCTCAATCCTCCATGTGAATTTGCCCATGTGACCATCTAATTTTCTAATTCCACTCCCATTCCGACCTCCAATTAATCCACCATTCTTCGAAAAACTACTAAACTCCTTGATCACATGAAAAGAGGTACTAAACACAGCAGTATCATCAACTAAAAAACCAGAATCTTGCCCAACAAAATCAGACATCTTCATGTAGTCATTCCACCCCAAACTGGTATTGTCCCCACTTTTATTATCAGCTGCAAATCTCCCATATGAGTCCCGATGCATGTGATTCAAAGCAGGCTTCTGGTTCAACACGGACATCCGAAACAAACACCAACAACTCCTATCAGGTAATATTACTGTCTTTTCGGTGTCCTTACTCTCAAGACACATTGATAAATACTCTGTGCCATTAACTGAGCTCTGATAGACGCTAATCCTCAAATTACACTCTCCAGCTGGGAACACGGGACTCATTATTTTCTGTGTTTTTATCATTTCCTTAAACAAACTAAAATTATGAACTTTCCAGGTGAACTTGCCGCTGAGCACCTCGGGCGTAGGACAAGTAACAGCCGAGGATGCCATCATCATCGATGATGCAGGCTCATTGTTATCCCGAGTAAAGTTTACGGACTCATTGAGGATTAGAATATCAGCAGTGATCAAAATGGACTCATTGTTAAACAGATAGCCGAGCTTAGAATCAAACACGGTGGAAGAAGGAGTAAAATCGCACCATCCATGTGACTTCTTCTTGCTCGAGAAACGGTGCCATGAATCCCGATGAACGGTCTTGGAATCGTCGAGAACGTTGACGATGGCCAGCCGGTAGCTGGCAAAGCAATCCCATTTGGAAGACGATGTGCCGCGCGGGTCCACGATTTGAAGGTAGATTGAAATATACCCAGGAAGAGCTTGAGAATCACCCTTGGGATATATCAACAGGCGGCAATCGTAACCCCCAACCTCAAAGTACTTGCTCCACAGAGCCCTAGCCTTGATTCTTGGGAAACTTTGGACTGCCCATCTGCACACGGCTGAGAAATCCCCGCGCCGATCGACGGTCACAGTTTCCTGTGCCCCGCCACCGTCCCTCAACCCCACGGCCAAATCCTCCGCCGCCGCCGCAGCCGATATTGATTGCGCCTTCTCCAACGGCGCCGACGACGATTGCGACTGCTCCGATAAACCCGTCGTCAATGTTGAAGATACTGCCTCAGATACACTCTGCTTCATTCTCTCTCCCCTTTTAACGACTTTGTTCCTTCTCTTCACTTTTTGCTGTTCCTTATCAAATTCACGTAGAGATATAGAAGAAATAGGAAACCATACGAAGAACAAGAAGCAGAAGAAGAAGAAGAGAGAGAAAAATTAAAATTAAAAAAAATATATAAAAATAAAAATAAAAAAAGAAAGAGAGAGAAAGTTTGTGATGTGTGGTGAGAGGGTAAGAATAGTGAAGCTTTGGACAATGAGAAGCGCATGATAACTAACCTACGCCTGTTCTTCTTCATTTCTTTATTCCCTTCTCTTTGGGAACCAGAGCACTGGCGCTGATACTCTGCACCCGTTACTATTTTACATATCGTACACTCGGTTTTCTCCACCGTTGATGCTTGCTTTTTGTTTTATTTTATTTTTTCGTACGTTCTGGCACGTGCTTCTGTGGGACCCAGCTCTGGCCTACACGTGCACTCCGAATTCTCAAATCCAGTTGCGCCACGTCGGCAACTTGGAAAGCTTTTTGATGGAAGGATGGTGATCTTATTATGGTTTTGCAGGTTTTGCATCTCACTCGATAATTTTCTACCCCTGGGATTTTTCTTTCCCCTCGATTTATGTTTTTTTTTTCTTATTCGACTGATTTGTAATCAACAAAAATTGATTTTTTTTACTCTTATAATTTACTCGAGAGCGACGTGTACAAATATTCGATGTGTATTACGTCGTTACACTCTATTGTCCTTGACATTTGAGTTATTAAGCAATATCAAAGAGCTTGGAGTGAGGGTAGCCTATGAGTTATTATCGTAACTTGGTTGAACTAGACTATAAAAAAGCTTGTGACTAGGTTACATCATGAGTTTTGTGTTGCATTATCATACATTCATGGTATAGTGTAACCAACGTGCATACAATTTACTATAAGCATGGTATTAATCACTTGTGACAATTAGTTAGTACGACATCGACTTATCGATCTCTCTACCTACTTTACAACTATGATTTAAATCTAATACTCATCTACCAACTTGAACGCAGTTCAACGAGTTAAAATCAACTATGTCTAACTGGAATGCCATGAGTTCGAATATACTATATATATATATAATACTCCTCCATTATTTTGTTTATATATATATATATATATATATATATATATATATTCATTTGAATGTGGTACTACCTCATCTTCGTCCTATTACACATTTATCCAAAAGCATGCAACAACAATCAAATTTAAAAAATTAGTATATTTCAGTTAAAATCTTATTTTAATATCTACATGGTTAATTTATTATATTTTAATTTATAAATGGTATAGTCTATAAAATTTACCTATAACATTCTTTTAGTAACTTCTATTAACCATAACAATTTTTGTTACATATAATTGCACTTTATAATTTTTGTTAATATAACCTATTGAGGGGAGATTCAAACTCATAACTTTGGATTAGAGGTATATTTATAGTTATTATTGTAAATTTTTTCATTTTTATTATTTTTGCGATTACATGGATTATACCGATTTGCACAAATACCTCAGCGATTCCCGCTCATTAATACATAGAGCCCAATAAACATATCTTGAGTTGGTATAGAAATGGGATTCCCAATAGCTGAAGATAAGAGATTCATATGAGAAAACATAAGTAAACGCGGCTCTGCTCGAGTCTCCAAATATAAAGGTACATGAACAGCCATTTGATCCCATCAAAGTCTGCATTGAATCCCTTACAAACCAATAGATGTATATCAATTGAGTTAAGTCTATTATAATCAAATAAATATTTAAAGTTCACAATGTTAGTTAATTAACAAAAATAAGTATTTGAAACTAAATCAAAATGTTTAAAATTTTAAAGATAAACCTAATAACTACGAAGATATTGAAAATGTTTAGAATATAAATGTTTAAAATTTAAGTATGAGATTAAAAAATGAGAATAAACCTTGCAAACAATAATTATGTAGGCACACATCAACTTTTCCAAATTCCTACTACCATGTGTTGATAAAAATAAAAAATAAATAAATTAAAAAAAAACCTAATATAAAATASATCAGAATATGGGGATTATTTGAAAATAAATAGAAATTAAAGGATCAAAAAATAAATAGAATGGCAGTGAACAGTAGACCACGTGTCAGCTCACTGAGTTTGAAAGAATCCCAGAGCTGTGTAAGCCCCAGTGAGACTCGTGCTTCTTCTCCAGCGGACCAAGCTCGGAAGATCGATTGGGCTTAGAAATTTCCGGCGAATTTCACATCCCGCCGGTTCTTCTCCGTCAATTCGGTACGGTCACCGTAATTCTCAAACCATATATGCAAATTTTCAGTTTAGGGCATCGAATTGCTGGAAAATGGGTCTGACATTTTTTTCCCCATAGGGCTCTTTGACTTCGCTTTGTTTTGGATGATGTTGAAAAAATGGCCGGCGAACTTTTGCGTCTGTTGAAAGAAATGATTACGACATTTCGTCTCGTTTGCACGGATGGACTGTCATTCAGCAATTTACGTTTGCACGTTAAGTTCTGTGACGCTGTTAATGTCATTTAGCATTCGTTAAAATTGTTAAGTTTATGAGCGTCCATGAAGTTAAAGTCTTGTAGTTGCTTTATTAGAAGATTATAATTTCGCATGGTTGCTAGAAAGGTGATTTCTGGAGCATTGAAAAGAGTGTGATTTAGCTTGAATGAAGACAAAGTTACTGGCAAATTTTCTTCAAATCGATTCGGCTCTCTGAATGTCTGTCATTTAGAACTACATGGATTAAAATTAGATTACCTTGAAGGTTAGCCATGGAGTTTGATACTGGTCTTGTCATATTCACGGGGGCCAAGTATTAAGCGGGAGTTTAATGGATGAAGGCTGGAACAGGCTGAAATGTAAGTTTTCTACCTATATGCTTGATCTTTATGCAATTTCTCTCAAATAACTGATAGAATTTTTCGGTGTCTGAAGGTTACCCCATCATACAAGTATATGCTCAAGTGTACCTAATATCTTGTCGATATACTTCTTCCTCTAAGCCCGAGTCTCTCACACGACGGGGGGTATAACAAATATATATTGTACCGACGCCTCCTAGACCTTTAAGGTATAATCTCATCCATTACAAGGTCTGATATATTTGTATATTTAAATCGAACCTCTCAAGAGACTGCTTTGGGGCAAATGCCATCAGTTATATGCAGGAATTTTGAAATTCTCTAATGAGCTGATTTACATGTTGGGTCGCTGGATTTTCTTTATTTTCTTTTTTGTAGTAAAACCGTAATGAATTACATTTAACGTTCCTTATTGGACTTTCATTATGTTTGTTTTGTTCAGGGTAGTTTCTCTCTTCACTGTTTATTAATAGGCATAATGATCCAATTGTTATACAATATATAACCATAAAATTTACTTCTTGAACTTTCATTATGTTTGTTTTCTTCAGAGTAGTTTCTCTCTTCACTGTTTATTAATAGGCATAATGACCCAATTGTATGTGTAAAAATTTATTTCAGATGGAGGAAGTTTGTCTTAATAGCGAGCCTATCTTTGATGAATGTGACGAGTATGAGGTGGATGGTGATGGTGATGATTCCTTGGTAGGCAACGACAACGAATCTGGGGAAGCACAGTCTAAGAAGAATTCTCCGCTTCCAACTGTGGGTTTGGAATTTGATTCCTTTGACGAGGCATACGATTTCTACAATGTTTATGCTAAGGAACTGGGCTTTGGCATCAGAGTCAGCAATTCGTGGTTTAGATCTAAAAGGAAAGAGCGATATAGAGCCAAACTTAGCTGCAGTAGTGCAGGCTTCAAGAAAAAGAGTCAAGCAAACAATCCAAGGCCGGAAACTAGAACTGGTTGTCCTGCGATGATAATTATTAGGCTGGTTGACACCAAAAGGTGGAGAATAGTTGAAGTTGAGCTTGAACACAACCACCCAGTTAGTCCACAAATCACTCGATTTTACAAGTCACATAAAAAGATGATTCTTGCTGCAAAGAAAGTGCAGGCACAGCAGCATCCTGTAACTGAAGTTCATACCATCAAGCTGTATAGAACAGCTTCTCTTAATGGTTGTAATGGATGCTCAAATGTTGACCAAAGAGAGGGCATCAGTTCTGTTGATCACTTGAAGCACTTGGAACTTAGAGATGGGGATGGACATGCATTGTATAATTACTTCTGCCGCATGAAATTGACAAATCCCAATTTTTTTTACTTGATGGATCTTGACAATGATGGGCGTTTAAGGAATGTGTTTTGGGCAGATGCCCGATCCCGGGCGGCATATTGTTACTTTTGTGATACAGTTATTATAGACACAACATGCTTAAATAACAGATATGAAATTCCTCTGATTTCATTTGTTGGTGTGAACCACCACGGACAATCAGTGTTGTTAGGATGTGGCTTTGTTGGATTTGAAGCAGTCGAGTGTTTTGTTTGGATTTTGAAGGCATGGCTTAGATGCATGCTAGGATGCTCTCCACAGGTCATCATTACTGACCAAAATAAAAAATTGCTAGCTGCAGTCTCTGAAGTTTTCCCTAAAGCTTGTCACTGTTATTCTATGTGGTATATCATGCAAAGAGTACCAGAAAAGTTGGGTGGATTGAAAGGATATGAAATGATAAGAAGCCAATTGAACAAAACCATTTTTGGTTCATTGAAGATAGCTGAATTTGAAACTTCATGGACTAATATGATCAAGCACAATGGGCTTGGAGAAAATAAATGGCTTCAATCACTGTATGAAGATCGAAAATTATGGGCTCCTGTATACTTAAAAGACATTTTTTTTGCAGGAATGGTTCCTATCCATGCAAATGAGAGCTTTAAAGCATTTTTTGATGGATATGTACATAAACACACATCTTTTAAGGAATTTGTTGATAAGTATGATCTTGCCCTCCATAGGAAATACCATAAAGAATCAGTAGCGGATCTGGAGTCAAGAAATTTAAGCCTTGAGTTGAAAACGAGATGTAATTTTGAATTGCAGCTCTCCAAGGTCTACACAAAGGAAATATTTAGCAAGTTCCAATCTGAGGTAGAAGGAATGTACTCTTGCTTCAACACAAGGCAGGTCAATGTAAATGGGCCTATAGTAACTTACATTGTCAAAGAAAGGATTGAAGTTGAGGGACATGAGAAAGAGGTAAAATATTTTGAGGTATTGTATGAGACAACCGAAGTGGACATTCGGTGCATCTGCAGTTTGTTCAACTACAAAGGTTACCTATGCAGGCATGCGTTAAATGTTCTTAATTATAACGGTGTGGAAGAAATCCCAGCTCGCTACATTCTACCACGCTGGTGTAAAGATTTTAAACGCAGGTATCTTCTAGGCCAGAGCTTAAGTAATACAAATGTGTATAGTTCAACATACCAATATAGTCATATTCTTAATTGTGCACTTCCAATTGTAGAGGAAGGTGCACAATCTCAAGAACGTTATAAGCTTGCATTGCAAGAGTTGGAGGAGTTGTTGAATAAATTACATCTTGTAGAGGATAATTTAAATAACGATGGATAGTTTGTTGTTACGAAGTAATTGTGAAAAAAAAAAAAGAAATACAAATATTTGTTGCAATGATAATGCTTGTGTAGATGCCATCTCTCTCTCTCTGTCGATTGTGAATCCCCAGAACAGTATATGTTAGTTGATTTTCCTTGTAAAACTTATAACAGCACAATGCAGGTAAACGGTTGGACCATACTCTCTTCCAGTCTCTCCTAAAACAACCCTCCCCCACTTGAGAATTGCAGTACACATCACACACAGAGATAGAGATGCAGAACTTGTTTGATTTGCTTTGATCTTATGGCCTACAAGTGGTCATTGATCTAAGAAATCATAGACCAGCAGCTTTCTTCTTCTGGGAAACTCTCATTTCTCTACCCCCACACATAATGACTCAGCCTTGCTTTAAAAAGCTCTCTTGCCATACCCTGGTCAAAGGGAGGTACCTAGCCGTTAATAATTATGAATGTTCTCTCATTTGTTATGCTTCTACTGTATAATTCTTAAAATGAGCAAAAGGTTATAGTTGGTGGCCAGGAAACTGGTATTCGCATCGTTTGAACCGATAGTTTCAGCCTCAGGTATCATCCAGGAGGGAACAACAAGCAGGGAGTGCAGCCTGCGTCGGGACAGGGAGCAGAACTTTGCCTCCATGTTGTCAAGTAAGTATGAAACAAGAACACTTTCGATGAATGGTAAACTAATGGAAATCACCCCTTAGCATTGTATTACACTGCATCATATCAAATGAACCAACTTCTTGTTGTCAATTATTCTGACTTTTCCTCGTTATAGGCTGCTACCTATGGATGATAGAGGAGCTTTATGAGCACAATTTTCTGTAAATGTTTATGAAAAAGCTCTATTATCATACAGTAGGCCCCAAGGCTAGGCTGCAAGGGTAAGCCATTTTTATATTACCTTTGAGCTCATATTGCATCTCATCTGGTCATTCATTCCAATGGAAAGTGAGACCAGAAATCTTAACATTTTCTGCCCACTTAATTTCTCAACGCCCTCAATAATAGTACTATCTCTGAAGAGGGGATGGGCCCTCATGCATTCATTATAGTAATATTAGATATAAGTAGAGATTTTACAGTTGGATATAGTGAATAGAATTATTTAGTTAATAAATAGTGGCACAGTTTTGTGAAGAGGGTAGTACTGTATTTAAACAACTTTTCAGATGAGAGGGGATTTTCCCCCTATGATTGTTAAAACATTTCAGGTCTATTTTGCCTTCCAAAATTTTACTTGCTTGGAGGGCTATATCTCTACATAGTTAGCGATTTTATCGATCTTAAAAGATAAATTGTCGATATTATTGAATTGGTAATATAGATAAATAAGGTTTAAATACTATTTTGGTCCACATATTTTAGGCTTTGGTTCCTATAATTTTAAAATGTCTATTTTGGTCCATATACTTTCAACTTTTATTCATTTTAGTCAATGAACTTTCAAAATATTCATTCATGTACTTTTAGGAAGTGACCATTTTGGTCTCTACTTTTAAAATGTTAGAAAAAATTTGGTACATAATGAAAATCTTTTAACACAAATTTATGATTACATTTGGAAAAATTTAATGAGTAAGATGTCATGTTAAAATTCGAAATAAATGAAATGAAAATGAAGGATCAAAATGATCCTTTATTGAAGAATAGAGACCAAAACAAATGCTTAAAAAGAAAATGAACTAAAATAAACAAAAATTAAAAGAATATACGGATTACAAACTAGAACAAAAACAAATCAAAGTAAGTTATCCTGAGTTATTTTTAATTAATTTCAGTATAAGAATTTGGGATGTTTTGTGATGAGTTCCAAAAGCCAAAAGCCAAGCCAAAAACTCAAACCACTTGCCTCCCAGAATACGCAGTAGGTGAAGTCTCTTCAATCGGAAGTAGATCTCGATCCCGAGCATAACGCAAGGAGGGAGACTCTCGTATCAAAACGTTAAAAAAAAATATATTTATTTAGACACCAGACTCAGAATTTGTCCTGCCCATACGATTGGAGTCGGGCAACTTCAAAGTAAAACATATTTATACAGCAAAGCCAGAGACAGGACAGTGACGAAACACAATTCTGCTGTTCAAGGAATGTGAAAAAACTTGATGAATAATTCATTTTACTTGAGGGAATGGGAATCAAACAGCTACATCACGAAGGTATTTATAATCTCATCCTGTTATTTTTCCCTTCTACAGTATTTGCTTATGAAAAAGTACTTTTAGTGAAATACTTTACGCTATTAAGATGTCAAATATAATAAGAGGCCTGCCAAATCTCAATTTCGCTGTGGAAAACAGAGCTTCACGCTGTACCCAAAGATAAGAGATTCGTCTTTAGAATTTACTTACAATGTCCAATCAAAGCCATGGCCTTGTACAAACCAACCATCAGCACCCAATTACAAAGAATGCAGGAGAGCACACGACAAACTGAGTTTATCGAATCGCATAAATTAGTGTACGAGCAACATACACCAGTGGTAAATCAATGCAAACCAGAAGGGGGCAACCCAAAACCGAGTTGAATTGCACTAAATTATCGTTCTCATTATAGGCATGTAGGTAATGTCATCCCATGACAAACAAAAGCCAGCACCATGTAAACAATTACTAGGAGGAGGATTATCAGCATTACCCTGCAAGATTCAAGCCATGTATTTCATCAGAAGGTAGCACAAGATCGTCATCTTAAGCCATTGTGATGTTCTCCAAAACTTGCATTTGCAGAAGTTTCACAAACAGAAAAGCATAAGAAGAAATGTTTAGGCACCAAGAATGGAAAAGCAAGCACTATTTTCCTTTCAAATGAGCTTCTTCGGACTAGTTTGGTAACGTTTCCGTTTTTTGTTTAGTTTGGTAAAGCACTCATTTTACCACTAACTTTGTTTCTTATTTCTTATTTTTGAAAACATTCTCATAATTGTATAGAAATTTTGGGAACAACCAAAATAAGTTTCTCCTTTTTTGTTCTCATTTTCAATTTGTTCCAAAACATAAATAAAAAGATTGTTTTATCATACTTAAATTCTTGGAGGTTGAAACCATGCAATACATTTTTCTTCATTAAAAATAAAGAAACAGGAACGTTACCAAACGAGGTCTTATTTTTCTTTTTCATTTTTTCTTATACTTAAAAGACATGCTCTCCATAATTAAATTATCAGCAGCTTATCTCACCATACTGTTAGTACTGATGGAGGAATCAGATTTTAAAAGGGGAAAAACATACCAGAGCTTAACATTTTTCCACCAGACCGCGTTTCTGAAACGTCGAGCCTGCTTTCTGAATCGCATGGTGTTTCCTTGCATATTAGCAGTTTTATCCACAAGAAGCTCCAAGCGGTCTCCTCTCTCTAAAACTTTGTCAATATTCTCTATCATGACATTTCGCACCTATAAAACAGAACAGCTTTTGGTTATCAACATGTGTTAGAACTGGTGAAAGATTATACGACATACATTCCAAAACAGTCCTTTATCTACGCATTAGACATCTGGGGGCTTGCTTTTGAATTTTGTTTGTTCATGGACAATATTTTTCAGTATACTTCTATGGTTGAATTTGTTCTTCAACCGAATTACGTGTACTACTTTCTTCTCTCAGATGAATTTTGGTTCGTATATGATATTATGCTATATTATATTGAGTCTGATAACAAATTACCTTTTTTTTTTAATATCCGTGAGTGTCCAGACCAGCTTACGCGCACCTCGACTAATCTTACGGGGCAACTGTCTGACCCTACAACATTTGGTGTCGGGACCCTAAGGTGGTCATCTTGGGGTTTGAACCCATTGACTCTTAATTAACCCTAACTCTTTTAGACCAATGAGCCACTAATGATGGTTAACAAAGTGGCAGTCTATTGATGATGGAACATTAGAATATGGTACTGGAAGTGTCACACCGAAGCGGCCACCAGAAACTAATAGGAGCGGAACAAACTAAACAAACATTCTCACAGTCTGCATTATGCTATATGCAAATATGACCCACCCCAGTCCCCATCCGCCCCACATTAAAAATATGAAGATGTGTGCCATTACGTTACATTCTAGAGTAAGCAAAGTGTAAGAAGATAAATTACTGGTTTCAGTTATCTTGTGCTGCATAAGAGTATATAAACAAAATCTGGAAATATTTAGGGGCATTTGATTTTTTTTCTTGATAACCCGGAATCGATGTAAAGTTGGATCCCTATAATCGGAGGTGTGGACGGCCACCAACACTGTAACGAACGTTGCAGGTCGTCTGATTATTATTTCGCTTTTTGTTTCATGTTTTTAAAAGTTATGCTTGTTTTTTACAATTTTATGAGTGGATTTTTCACAAAATATATTTGAATGCTTAGCCAAAAACAAGTTTTTGAACACTTTATTGGTTTTCAAAATTTGGCCCAGATTTTGAAAACGTTTACAACAACTATATAACAAAATAAAGGAATACATTGGTGAAAGTAATGTTTATAATATCAATTTTTAAAAATATAAAGCCAATTCTATCAATGAAATCGTTTCCATTAAGAAAAAAAAAAACAAAATAGTTACCAAATGAAGCCTTAATTAATCACCTGACTCATTTCACCTTTCAGTCGGTTGATCCTATCTGCATTTGGGTCATTGGAATAGTATTCCATTTGCTGACTCAAAACCCTTGAGAATTCATCGTTCATGCCATAAGCATTGGCTGAATGAACCGCACGGCCATATGTCCTTACAAATCTTTGATGAATATCTTCAAGGAATGCAAAAGGAATCCTCCCTGAAGAAATAGATAGTAATTGTCAGTACAATTTTTTTTTTAATAGGAAAAAGAACTTTTCATTAAGACAAATGAAAAAGAAAGCATATACAAAAGGCATACAAAAACAAAGCCTAGAAGGAAGAACCCTGCCTAAAGAAAGGGCTTCCAATCCAAAAGAATAAAGTCCAACTGATAATTACAAAACACCTTCGAAATCGAACCCCACAAAGAAATGAGTGAGATCCCAAACCGACTCTCCATCTCTCTCCATCCCAAAACACCTTTGGTTTTTCACTGTCAGTACAACTTAAAACTCTTGACTGAATTTAACTGTGCGAATTGGTTGGGTTTCAAAGATGACTGGCTGCAGAAAGAGCATTAGGTTATTGGCTTCATTTTTCTATGGAACAAAGCTGGTTGAGATTGATAAACATTCTAGGGAATCGTCATGCCAGTAAATTTTAGAAGATAGCAGCAAAATCCTCACACTAATCATTCTGATTTCAGGCCAACTGAATTGCAAATCACGAAAATATCATTCAGGTTCAATATATATAACTGCATGTATAAATACCGTCCAGGCTTCAGAGATACTGTGTTCAGCGAGCATCCACCAAAATCAAGGAACAATCGCAAACAACGAACATTGAACAAACAAAACAAGTAAATCAATCCTTAAACTTAAACATGGCAACGCCTATTTGCCTATTGGCCGACTTCAGACTACAAGACTCTACTCTCAGTCTCCCGCCACTTTCAGAAATCAATGGTATGCTGTGCTGTGAAACAGAAACTAATAACCCGATGATACTGATAAACAATTAGCATCAGCAATCTAAAACAAAAATCATCCAGTAATTAGCACCAGACTACTCGATGCACAACGCATCAGGATAAAAAAACTGAAAATTTGACATGGAGGGAGAGAGTGGCACTCACTTCCGGCAGTGTCATCGGCGATACAGAGCACCGTAAGGCCATCGGTTCGCTTGACATGAAATATATACCGATCCTGCGAGTAGGAAACGTTAGAATCATCGTTCCCCGGAATTTTATCGAGAATTTGGCGAGCAATGGAGCTTCCATTCGTCAGAGTTGCAGAAAACTCGGCCAGAATCACCGATCCCCTCGCCACCAACGCGTAAATTATCGCCATGAGCGTGGAGATAAAAAAAAATCGATCGACTAAGACAAGATCGACTGCTGTAAGCAGGGCGACGGGCGAGGGACGAACAGCTGCAACGTGGTGGAAGATCGCGATCGTAATTCTCTCCCCGCCAGCTTGAAATTCAGGCGTTGAAGATTATCGGAGTGAGAGAATGAAAACAAAGGAAGGAAGATAAATTGAAATTAGGTTTTCAAAAAATCAACATTTTCAAACAGCGGGAATGAGCTAGAAAGCTGATCCCAATAATTTCGCCTTTCCCCCTTTCAATTAGGTCGTAACTGTAAGAATCCATATTTTGATTCCAACTCGTTGGAGATAGTGTATTAACCTGACCTATATTTAGTTTCACAAAAATTAACCGTTGGTTATTTTTTAAAAAGTTACCTATGTTTACATTTACCTCTTAGTTGAGAAATATTGGATAGTGGCCTAGGTCATTGTCATTTCACAATCTCAGTATTTTTCATATTTTATTATTTGAATCCTATCTTCATCCATATCTTTATAAATTCCTTTTACATTTTAGTCTATATATATTTTAAATTCTTATTTATTTTAGTTTACATATAAATATTCATATTAATTCTTATACGGATAAAAGTTATTATTTTAGTCATTTCATTCTCAATTTTTTCAATCAAACTTTTACATAATACTTTACTCATTAACCTATTGAAATGCTACCATAAATTTGTATTAAAGATTTCCACTATGTATCAATTTGGTACTAACTTTTTTTAAATAAAATTAAAATTGTCACTTTTAAAAATTACATATACTAAAATATTTTGGAACTATACGGGAAGAAATGGAAAATTGAAGATAGAGAGACTAAAATTGACATTTTAAAAGATATGGATAAAAGATACCAAAATAGTTTTTAAACTTTTTTCTCTTTGACAATGACAATATATTGCTGGGATTGGAGTGGGGTATAAAAAGAGTTAAATGAACTGATGGTGTGCGTATATATATTATTTAATTTTAGTATTTGAAACTGAAAAAAATCATTTTTCAAAACAATTTATAAGGAGGATTTAAACAGCTAGCTGCGTAACTCATATTGTCTTAAGAAATATCTTTTTTTTAAAGGTCTTTAAAATATCATTTTGATTGGTCGTTGAACTCTTAAAATGTATATTTTTCATCTTTGTATTTAAAAAAGAAAGACACTCACTTTTTTTTTTTTTAATAAACTATGTTCATAAAACAAAAGGGAGAATAGCCTATGACAAGAGTTGAGAAAGTTCCTCCCGAAAAGGCAATTGAATAACAGTTTTCCAATCAGGACAAACAAAGTTAAATTTATTTTTACTTTATAGTTAAAGTACCAAGAAGCCTTGTTGATTTGTACACCTTTACAGATAATATCAAAATGACGAGTTTTATTGTTGAAGACTCGTTGGTTCGTTCCTTCCACGAACATCAAAAGCATATGTAGCTACACAACCTATAAGAGTTTTGGCCTTTTCATTTAAAAAACCACCCTTGTGATAGCTTGAGAAGCTAGTCTTCCACCAACGTGGGCAAGTAGGCTATTAAATCGAACTCTATCGACAGTAAAGACCAATTTTTTAAGGTAAAAGGGCAATGAAGGAAAAGATGATCAATAGTCTATGCATTATTCAAACAATATTAACAAATTGATAATGATGGACAAGGGGAGATTGCTTTATATAATTTTTCGCGAGTGTTTAAGCTTCTATAAACGATACTCTACAAAAAAGCTCTTGGTATTTGTCATTTTTCTATTTGCTAAAATGTATTTTATTACTTCGATAGATAGAATTGTTCATCTAACACACATCTCAACTAACCTAAGTGATTTAACATGTATCCGAAATCAAATTATCCATATGTTAAATAATCTATAGCAAAATAATAGTAACTATACAAGTGTTTGTTTGTTTGTTTTTTTAAGTTAAATCAAAATAAATATTCTGAAATTACTTCAAATATTAAAAAAACCAGGAAAATTTTTCCTACTATGAAAACAAAACACCAAATTGTCTATAAATAGAACATTTAATAGACTTGGCCAAAATTCAGAAAGGAAATTTACATAAATGTTCCCTCCAGTAAAAAAGAAAAAAAAAAACGTTTGGAGTCAGTCATTCGTGATTCAACCATAAAAGGAGAAGCAAGTAAGCACCATTATTATTTTTTATTTTTTATTATTTTTTAAAGTAGAACAAATGAGATAAGAAATTCAAATTCATACTGAATCACAAATATATATCAATTACTGATGAGTTAAATTTATGTTAACAGTACAATTATTTTCACGGGATTATATTGTTTACTTTTTATAATTTAGAGTTATGTTGATATACTGAGTTTACAATGTAATTAAATATTTTGATATTTAGAGACTGAATATATATTCAATCACCGATCCAAACATATGCCAAATTGATAAAAATTAAAATTACAATAATAAAAATTTATGATTTGGTTATCGCTGTACAGTTTAGAGGGGGAAAAAACACACACACATCAAAATTTAAGAACTAACATTTATTCAGCTATCCTAAAAGTCTGAAATACCAACGTTTTTCTCACGGCTCCTCTAGTTTTAGGCCCACAAGCAAGCATATTTTCAATATTACCCTCCAAATATTTAATTCATTCCAAATATATTTATTAAAGAAAAATATTCGACTTTCCACTAACCATGACCATCATTTAATGTTTGATAACTATGAAAAATGTAAAAACAGATAATTTTCTTTTTTAAATAACAAACTGTCATCAAATTCAAAATGAACCTTAATTGTTATTTACCTATATTTAAAATATTGTGAGTTTGATCATCCACCCACACGTTGTAAAAAAAAATAATAAACCAAATAAACTGTCAAAAAGTATTTTTTTCGAAATAGGAAATTCCAATTTGTATTTGAATTAAGAAAATTCTATGTTTTCCCGTCATCTTAACAGCCCTAATATTTCTTCTTGTATTCTTAAAAATTCTTAAAATCATCATCGAGTCAAAATTTGTTTTGTTTTTCTCCCCTAAATTTCGTAAAATTAGATTCGAAATAAAATTAATTAAATAAAGATTTTAGACTAATTATGAACACGTACGGAGCTAATTTTTGAAAAAGCGATGTATTTTTCTAACGAAGCTAAAAGGGCAATTATGGTATCTTCGGACGGTAATTTCGGCCATTATTCCAATCCAAACTAAAAAGAGTTAAGGCGGAGTTGTTTTTGTAAAAAACCGCGATTAGTAGGGTCATATTTGCCATTTCCTGTACTGGAATACTTCCGCCGAGAAGCTCAAGGAAGGTCTCGCGCGAGAGAGACGACGACAGTTCGGTCTTTTGCTTCTCAAGCAATTTCTCTCTCTCTTTTCACAGATACAGACGGAAGCGAAGGGCCGAAGCTCTGAGAAAATCCCAATTTGCACGCGGCTCCAGGTGCCCAAGTTCTTCCCCTGTGCTGGCCCGAGATTCCAGTTCCACCTGTCCATGGTCAGATTTTACCCCTCTTGTTTTGGTTTTTCCGATTTGATCCGGCGGAAAAACGCGAGTGATTGTGGTGGAAATCGGGTGGGAGGTCGGTCATCGAATGGTTAATTGGATTGGATTGGATTGGCGGAAGTATCCTGGCGTGGAAGATAAGGAAAACGATCTAATCAAATTCGTGCCTCCGATCCTGATGATTATCTTCAGTTGGTGATAATTGCAGGAGAAAGTTGAAGTATGATGCAGAATCGAAGTCCGCCGAAGCACAGACACGATGGAACCTCGCCACTGCCTCTTGGAATGGACTGGAGCCCTCCTCCTCGAAAATGGGTTTGCCCTGAGCTCTAATTATCTGGATTTATTTGCGTAGAATTAAATCCCAGGAACTCACGATGCCAAAATTTTTTTTAATTTGTTTCTTTTTTGTATTTTTCTCGGTGGATTGACCGAATTGGTTTCACTGGCTTTGTCGAATTTACTTGTCCGGCTTGCTGGTCCATGTGAATCTGAAGATCACTAGTGTTTGTTTTATGATCTCTTTGATTTTTAGTTCTATCCTTAAAATCTACTTTCAAGCTGCCGTCGAAACATACAGTATTTACTTTAGGTTACTTCTAATTTGTTGCATCGTTTTTAGAATATTAATGGCCTTTTTTCCGCCCTACGAATGACCCCGACTCATTTTACCCTTTTATTTTATTTTCTAGGCATCAATGGCTGCTTGCTATATTTTTTCATACTAATTGTTAAAAAAAAAAAAACTGTTAGAAGGTTTTGGTGTCATGTATTGGAAACACCAAATATTTGAAATTTCAGTTTAGTGGCTATCTCATTTTAAGTGATATTTTTAAAGTTATAAAAATTGGGACTTGTGGCTTATCTCTATGTTTTTGTCTGTTGGGTCGTCTAGAGCAACTTTTTGCCTCGTTTCCTTATTGGGAAATTTATTTAATGTTCACTAGGAAAGCTTTCATTTATTGTGCAGAATGGAAAGGACACAGTTTGGCCTCATGACCATCACACTGGATGGAGTTACTGTGTTGTAGTACCTTCATGGGTTGCCCTTCCTCAAGCACGGGTTTCAGATCCCATAGTGGTACTCAATTTTATGTCTCCTTTTTCTTTTTCGTACTTAGGGTAGAATATTTTTATTAATTTCACGTTTCTGCCTCTATGAGTATCATCTTAGTAAACTCTGCTATAGAATAATCACTTGCAAAGTATGATGTCCAAAAAACGATATTGTAAGAAAATGCTTTTTAGCTGCCATGGATCTATTAAATAAAGGTGCAGATAACTTCTCACGTATGAATGGACCTATCAATTTTATATCATTTACATTTTTATAGCATAGCACTTTCTTCATTGCTTGCGCATTAACATTATAAATGGACAGTTCTACAGGGTTCAACTTGGTGTACAATCACCTGAAGGGATCACAACAATGCGTGGAGTATTAAGGCGATTTAACGATTTCTTGAATTTATTTTCTGACGTAAGTATAGGCATTTTGTTTTACTTGGGAATACCCCTTCCCATATGAAATTTCTTTCTTGTTGCAATGACTTCCTGTCTTCTTAGGAAAAATTATTTCCATTATTATGCTTAAAATTAAATTACTCTCATTTTTGAAGTGTTTTAGTTATGGTATTTTATCGCTTGCCAGGTTAAAAAGGCTTTTCCAAAGAAAACAGTTCCTCCAGCTCCACCCAAAGGAATCTTACGGATGAAAACCCGGGCACTCTTAGAAGAGGTGGGCAATCTGCACAATGATGCATGCATGAACATGCCACTTTATTTATTTTCTCCCTCAGTGTATTTTTTTAATTTATGTAACCTTGCTGGCAAATTGTATGTATGATTGATATAACCTTTGCATGATTCAGACCATTTGCCAATATGTAAGGAAATTGATAATCATTTTCTTAAGGAACAAGGAACGGAGAACACTAAAATAAATACGACTGTTTTGACAAAGTATGGGTGGACCCTGACTTATTTGTCCTGCATTACTCTGCAATAATTTTTTTGAAGGAAACTAGGAATCATTAATCAGTAATCATGAAATCTGTCTTTCAGATATTACAGGACTTCTGATAGATTTCTTTAGATTCACTGGAGCTCGCCCTTTGTCTACCATGTGTTGTAGTGCACTGTGCATCTATCCACAGTTAATTAAAAGCTTTTAGCTTTGAGATGAGGGTGTTGAAGTTATCCATAACACAAGCATAATTATTATGATGCATTTTGGTTGTGTATCTGTATGACTGTAACTATTATTCTTCACAGGTTTAATTTTGTTGCAGAGAAGGCGCTCTTTGGAGGAGTGGTTGACGAAGCTGCTGTCTGACATTGATATATCGAGAAGTGTTGCAGTGGCGTCTTTCCTTGAGCTAGAAGCTGCTGCTAGGTCTTGTATGTTCTTTCTAGTTTAGAGTGTACTTCAAAAAAGTCTTTGCTTTTGTATTTATCTGGTTTTTACCTCTTTAAGTGTTAATTCTAATCATTTTATATGTGGTCCTGGATAACACATATATTGAGTTCTAACATTTTAATTCTTGTCACAATGCTTTCAGCTTTCCAACAAGATAATCAGGGGACTTCAAGGGAATACCCTGATTATAACAGCAAAACTTCTGCACATCAATCCCCTCCTAATTCAAGCTCATCTACTGCTGCTGGCGGTTTGTCACTCGCATCGGATTATGGTAGTGATACTGCTTATGAGGCCTCCGAACTTGGCACAGCAAGTCTGGGAAGAGATGATAATTCTGAAATTGCTATTGAAGACCTAGCTCTGGATGACGATCTGACCAGTCCAATTGAAAAGTTAGTGAAGTATGGATTGTCCAACATTGACGAGGGACTGTTTATGGGACAGACCATTCTTGAGCAGTTAGAAGGTCTTCCAAAACATAAAGTGCATCCTAGATTTAACAACAATTTAAAGGATGTGCATAATGGTAATGCTTCTAAGGCTTCATACTTGGATAAAAATGGACTGGTTCCATATGCAGAGCCAGAGCATGCCAAGGCAATTGGTCACGCTCGCAAGCTGTCTGATGACAGTGTGGCAAGTGATGCAAGTTCTCTGAGAGGTGGAGAAATTTCAAGCTTTTCACTTCCAAATTCAGTAGGCAATGGCTCACTTGACCATTCAGGTGTTGAGGTTTCAAACACAATCGAAATTCATGGCAACCCTGATTTGCATTTTTCACGTGATGCACTGCTCCTTCCAAAGGATCATCGCCATAAAATGAATAGGGTTCTTTCAACAATGCATCAAAGGCTAGTGACAGCAAGAACTGACATGGAGGACCTTATATCAAGATTGAATCAGGAAATAACTGTGAAAGATTACCTTGCAACAATGGTATACTCAATGATATACTAAAGTTTTTCTGTTTACTCCGATTGAGGATTGACTGGCTGTTCTTGGTTTAGATGTTAGAATACGTTTGGTCCTAGGGCACCTATAATATCTATTTCTTTTTAAATACATAGGACACATTTTCTCGGTAACTCCTTTTCACAGCCATCGACTGTGCAAAGTTTCTTATGAATGGCCAAGAAACACACACCAGTTGTTTCACATACTAAATGTGCACTATTGTTAACGACAAACCGTTGTTTGCTATCAATTTTTCTATGCCAATAGCTAGTATTCTTTGGCTTGACTATCGCAAGTTCTGCATTACTAGCTCAATAACACGTTGCATGGTGCAATGGCTTATGGTTTTGTTTGTGACTGCATGCTGACACAGACAAATACCCAATCCATCTTGTGACAATTTATTCCCAGGTTAAGGATTTAGAAGTTGAACTTGAAACAAACAAGCAGAAGAGTAAAGAAAACCTTCAGCAAGCTATTTTGATGGAGAGGGAAAAAGTCACCCAAATGCAGTGGGAAATGGAGGAACTTCGTCACAAATCACTGGCAATGGAGTTGAAATTGAAGTCTAAAGAGGTTTTGAATTTTCTAAATTGGCCGTATTTATCTCATTCCTGTCACTATTTTGCACTCACTCTATTTGATGATACACAAAATGCTCTAGGGGGAAAATCCAATTTCAGTGCCTACAGAAGAAACTAGCCTCCAGGAGAAAATTGCCTTGAAAGAAGAGCTCAATTCCACGAAAGAACAACTAAAGAATGTTTCCAAGCGATTTGAAGAGCTTGAAGGAAAATCAAAAGCAGACATCAAGGTTCTTGTTAAAGAGGTCAAATCTCTTCGGAGTACACAAGCCAAACTTAAACAAGAGCTTAGTCAAACACTTCAACAGAAGTCTGCGACTGAGGTAGTATTGCAATCTGCTAATTGTGCTGTGATTAAGGTGTTGAATGAAAGTTTGAGTTGGTAACAACTTTTTTCCTGTTTGCTGCAAACTTGTTTGACATGTGTCACTTCTCAGCATCAACAAAAAATTTTGCTTTAGCCATATCTCTTCTACTTTTTACCTAGTAAAATATACTGAGCATATACAGTTGAAATATAAGCAAATTATCTACTACTTTAGCTGAAAATTTGCGTTTGCAATGTCTGGTCAGTTTATTGACTGAGAAATTTAATTGTCATTTTTTGACAGAAATTAAGAATCAAATTTTAGTATGTCCTATTGATGTTCCTTTTTTCCCCGCACAGGAGTTCCTTCAACAAGAAAGAGAAATGAGACAGCAAGCAAACACTGCGCAGAAAAAGCTGCTGTCCGAATGTAGGAGTCTGCATGGTCGGCTTCAAAAGTGCCACATGAACCTTTCAGCAGATGATGATTGTAACGACGTTGTGGAATCATCATCCCTATCTAATGCATTGGATTTGTTGACAACATCTGATGACCAAATAAATCTCCTCCTGGCTGAGGTATCCCATGTGTTCTAATCTTTTCCTATAGTGCCGTAGTGCTCTTATGTGGTCTGCATACTGTTAGTTTCTTCAAACTTGTTCTTGCAACCAAAGCTTCAAAAATGATGTTCTATCGAGTATCATTCACGTTCTTTGCAGTTTGAACTTTTTGTTGCTTTATCATATCATTTATAACCCCCTCACCATTGTTGAGGTAGCATCTTTTCTCCATTGCCATTCGCTTCTTTCGTTCATAACTAAACATTTGTCGCTATAACCTGTTCAGGCAAATCTTCTGTCCAACAACAACCAAACTGCTGCATCAATGGCGGATGATAATGTTCAGGAAAGAATCGACTATGATTCGACCAAGGTAGATGCAGAGTTGAGGATGGTGCTTAAAGACATGTTCACAGAGAACGCCAGGTTAAGGAAACAGGTCAATTATTGTCTGCGGCATAGTATGAAACTGAGGATGTCAAAGGAAGCCGATGGTTCAGAGGCTTCTTCTTCTTCACAGAATACTAAAGTAAATACCACATCAGAGACATGATTCCATATTGAATCAGAGTATATTATTTCCCCCTTTGTTTTTTTCCCTCTCTCTCTCTCTGTTTCTCCCCATCTACCCTTTAAAAGTTTAACAAAGCAGCACTTTTTGTTGATTCAGTAGCCATTTTGCACATCATTGGATAAATAATGCTCTGCTTGGTATAGTGCGATGATTTTAGTTAGTGGGCAGCCAACAAAAGCTTAGTTCAGCAGTAATTGGCATACCTCTCTGATCAAGAGGTCATGAGTTCGAATCTTTCCGCCCGTACTTGTTGTGCTAGAAAAGAAACTTTCTACCACGGTGTTCTTTTTTGTTATAATCAGGGTACCCTACAAAACGATAAGAGAGACTTATATACCCCAAATATTTTAGCTATTTGGCTCTTTTTACGATGTTGTCTACTTCAACTTTTGTCCTCATATTTTTGTTCATTTTGAAAGTAAATGCAAAGAAGCCAAAAATTGAACTTAGATTTGCACTTTTGGTCGGTCTATTTGGTAAATATGTGGAAATGTGTAGCTAATGAGTTTAAGAAGTTATATTTGTGTTTGCCATCAAGGGTGCAAGTGGTTCTGTTTAATTTTGTTTTTGGGCAAAATTGATGCTAAATTGACGTATGGATTTGAGAAAAAGTAAATTGACAGTAATTTTACTTTAGTTTACATATTATTTTGTCCCCGTAATTTTAGTTTTGTTTATTTTATTTCTCTGTTTTGACTTCTATATTTTAAAAAATAATTATTTTGGTCAAATTTTTGCAAAGTTGTAACACATTTTATACTAGACGAACTTCAAAATACAATGTTAGTTAGATTTCAAGAAATCTATTGGATACAATGTCGTGTCAAGAAATGATTACTTTTTAAAAGTACCTCGATTAAATAGACATTTTGAAGATATATGAACTAAAGTAGAGGAATCAAAATAGACGTTACAAGAATACGTGAACTAGAATGAATAAAAGTTAAAAATACGTGGACTAAAATAGTATTTAAACATTTTTAACTTTTTTAAATATCAAATTGTTCCGACCCATCCGAACTTAACTCTTTTTTTTTTTTAGTTTGTGCCCTTGTATGTAAATAAAGTTAAAATGACTATCATCATGTTTAGAAGAGCCAAAAATCACTTTTTTCTTCTTTGTTTTTTAAAATCACTCGTATATCGTTGTTAAACAATACAGTTTTAAATGAAAGTAATTTTAGCTTGACAAAATCACTTTTAAATATGTTATGTATATCATTACCCTATTTCAGATTAAAAAAATAGTAGTATAGTATTCTTTGAGGGAAAGTGAGTGACAAAAAAGTTACACGTGTTACGTGCAATAGTTTCTGATGATAATTAGTGTACTATGGTTGTGCAAATTAAAAAATCAACGTACACTTTATTAAAAAATGAATAGTACTTACTTTGTCCATGACATATTTGTTGAAAGAACTAATAATAATACTTCTTGACCTATCAAAACGAGCATAACTTAGTGGTAATTGACATATATTTCAAACTAAGAAGTTGTGAGTTCGATCCTCTATCTAACATGATTGTCGTTAAATAGTTGACAAATATTTGATAATTATTTAGTTTGTTACATAAACAAAATAATATCCTCTCTAATTTTCTTTTCATATTACCCCTCCACCGAGTCCCTTGCCAACTCATGTAAATATTTTCCTTCAATTATATTTTATCACAATTTTTATATTTGTCTCATTTTTGTTTTGAAAGTATATAGGTCAAATAAAAGAAATACAAAATTTCGAGGAAGAAGAATATTTACGTTTATATTGTATGTTGGTCTATCAAATTCAATTTTTATTTATTTAGATAGATACAATTTCAAAACGTCTCATTATCAAGTATTTTGTTTTAATTTTTATAATTGACCTACAAATTATTTTAGTCATTTTCATCAATGTCACTCTAATTATTTAACAAATTTAAATATATTTAAAAATTCGACACCTTTTTACGTCAACATCTTAGGTTGGGTTCACAGTGAATAATTCACAAAAAGGAAAAAAAATTATTGTGATGATTAAAATGATTCTTTACCAAAAGTTAAAATATTAAAAATAAAATATTTGAAAACGTAGAAGTTTGACATGAAAATAGGATTGAAATATATATATATATATATTGTTTATGACTTTTTTTTCTAGAAAAGGTAAAATATAATATATAAAATTTTTTAAGTGAGGTAAAATATAATATTTAAACCTTAATGGGTGGCTATAAATATTTCTAGCCACGTGGCACAATACCAGTGGTCAAGGCTATTAGACTCCGGCGCAAGTTAGCCATGCTAACATGGGCCCCATTTTTATTTTTATTTTTCCTTTTTCGTGCCTTTTTTTCCCTCCTTTCATTGCCTTGTCTCCATTTTTTCTTTCTTTTTTCTCTTTTTCGAACATGTTTCGTCCCCCACCGCTCATGTTTCTGTGATTCTCTTCAGCCGCTTTTTTTCTTTGATCTGGCGCGAGAAAGTTAGGGCTCAAGATGATTGTCCCGTGAGAGGAAAATTTGTCTTCGCTTTCATTGATTAGTGATTCGGAAACGAAGAACAATTCGTTTTTGGTTGTGGACGGATGTGCTCCACCGGCGTTCCATGGCGTTGCCGGCGACTACTCATCTCAGCATCTCCGCCTCTTCCTCTCTCTGCCATTCCAAGGTCCTCTTTCTAATCTGATTGCGCATCGCTCTCAAGTTATAGTTTGTTTAACAGTTCTTGTAAGTCCGGGAAAATCGATGTTATTTTCAGCTCGTGTTTATTGGCCTGGAATTTCCTCGAGTTTTTCGGATCTCTTATTTTCATTGACGTGGAGAAGTATTTGTAGGCCTGGTTTGGAGTGAGGTTAACTTCTTGGACCGATAAAGATGTGAAGCGAAGTATATTTTAGAATTAATTTTTGTGCATATATCTTCTTGTTTTGTTATTACATTTCGGTTCTAGATTATTGTCGAGTGGTTGATGGAAGCATCTCTGTTCCTCTTACATTTCGGCACTGGATTATTTTCGAAGGGTTTGGAGAGAGATTAACCTTTTTGGACCGAAAAATATGTGAAGTATATTTTAGAACTTATTTTTGGCATTTATCTTATTGTCATGTTATTACATTTCGGTACTAGATTACCGTTGAATGGTTGATGGAAGCATTGCTGTTCCTCTCACTACTACACTGTTGTTGGGATCGTACATGTCCATATGAATACTTGTTTGATTTATTGTAGAGCATTATATGCATGTTTAAACAATCGCATGCTCTTCTCTTAGCTCCAGGAATATTTTTCTTCCATGTCGCTGATGTCTGTATTTTATCACTTAATGCATCTGGGAAGTAATTTGAACTACGTAGTCATGGTTTACTCTATCGTCCACTAGAATCTTCTGAAAGTAATGTACGCTTTTGCATTTTGTTCAGAGATCATCTCTGAGGCTCAGTACGAATCCAACAAAACTTATTTCTAGCTCAACCCGGGAGAGAAGATCTTATTCCCTGAAGGCTGTCCAGTCAGTTCTAAATACCTCCAAGTCAAATTTAAACGACAATGGGGCAAGTGAACAAGCAAAACTGCTTCTGGAGAGATTGTTTGCCCAGACACAGAGATTGGAAGAACATGTAAACAAAGATCCTCACTTCCCACAAGATGTTTGGCTAGGGCTCAGTCTTGAAAATCTCGAGTCTGATCTTCTGGCTGCATTGGCAGTGTTAAAGAAGAAGGAAGAAGATCTACAAGATGCAGAAAGAACGGTTCTATTAGAACGAAGCCAGTTAAACCATGCAAAGGAGAAGTTGGAGAAGCAGGAGGAAGAAATTGCTGTTGCTCATCATAAACAGAAAGAATTAGAAGATGAGATGAAGCAGGCGAACTTAAACTTAGCTTCTCAAGCTAGGCAAATAGAAGAGTTAAAGCTTCAGATTAAGGAGAAGGATGAGGGGATCGCTGCCGCTGAATCTACCATTTCTTTTAAAGAATATGAGTTGAATAAAATGAGAGCTGATTTGTTTAGGAAGAGCGAGGAAGCTGTTAAGACCAATTATGAACTTAAATCCAAGTCCCAGCTTTTGAATGAAGCCAATGAAGTTGTAAAGAGACAGGAAGTTGAGATACAAAAGCTTAGAAACGCTGTGCTAGAGAAAGAAGAAGAACTGGTAGTCTCCATAAAGCTGCGTATACTTGAAGAGGAGAAATTAAAAATTGCAGAGAAAAATTTGGAGAAGCAAACCATGGAATGGTTGTTAGCACAGGAAGAATTAAAAAAATTGACAGAAGAAGTATCTAAGAAAGCAGTAGAGATGAATGAAACTATGGGTGACTTCAGTCGGGTGAAGAAGCTTCTTGTCGATGTTAGAAGTGAGTTGGTTTCTTCTCAGACGTCTCTTATGTCCTCTAGAAAGAGAATGGAAGAACAAGAAGGTCTTCTTGAGAAGCAATTGGCAGAACTTGAAGAACAGAAGAAGAGTATCAATGCATATATGTCAAGTTTAAAAGATGCTCAAATTGAAGTAGAGAGTGAGAGAGTGAAGCTTAGGGTCACAGAGGCTCAGAACAAGGAGCTTGAACGTGACTTGTTAATGGAAAAGGAGCTTACAGATGGGTTACAGCAACAACTGAAGAAAGAGAAATCCTATCTTCAGCAAGCAACTGAGGAGAAGTCAGTTCTACAGAAGGATCTAGAGCATAAAAATATTGAGTTTGAGAAAACTCACAATCTCCTTCAAGGTAAAGAATCGGAGTTGGTTGAAGCCAAGTTAGAAATCCAGCATTTGAAGTCTGAACAGGTTTCTCTTCAACTTCTTTTGGAGGAGAAAGACTTGGAAATTCTTGATGCGCAGAAGAATCTTGAGAAATTAAACCAGGAAATAGTTGAGCTACAAATGCATATGAGGAGTAAAGAGGCCCAGCTCAGTCAGACAACTGCTATGCTGAAAGAGAAAGATGAATGTGTTGAGACAATGCAGAACGAATTAAATGATACAAAGCTGAAAATTTCTGAAGCTGAAGCTGTGGTAGAACAGATTGTGGATCTCACAAATAAATTGGTGATCTCAATCAATGATAGCGATGATGATGTTTTGAAATTGAATGATGACCTTAGCAACAATCTACAACAGCAATCATTCGAGAAACCTACTGATAATATGAGGTTGCAGAATAAACAGCTTGAAACTGAGCTAGAGCTCACCAAGGAAAGCTTAAGACAAAAAGAAATGGAAATTCTTGCCGCACAAAGGGCCCTGACTGTTAAAGACGAGGAGCTAAAAACAATTCTTGAAAGATTGGATACAAGGGGAAAAGAGTTTGAGAAGCTGAAGGAAGAAACGGATAAAGAAGCTAAGGATCTCAGAAGTCTCTACGCTTTGGCACAAGACAGCATTGGAGAAGGTGACTTGGCAATTGAGAAGCTTCAGTTCGAGGCTGCTCAACTAGAGGTTGAAGCAGCAACTAGCGCTCTTCAGAAACTTACAGACATGAGCCGAGAGCTTCTGAATCGATCTGGCCACAGCCTGGAGGTTGATATTGATTCAAGAAGCATTAAGCATGGTGACATCGGTTCCAGGATAGGCATCCTCGGTAACAACCAAAGATTCAATGAAGTCAAGTTGGAAGTTTCCCGTCTTTCGTCTCTGACTGAACAGCTCGTGAAGGAGGCTGGTATACATTTTGGTGCAGATCAATAGAAGAGGTGACTGAACAGCTCGTGAAGGAGGCTGGTATACATTTTGGTGCAGATCAATAGAAGAGGTTACTGGGACGAATAAGGGAGGCGTTTGTATATATTCCTTGCTTTTGACATTATTTTTCATCCCAAAAGGGGCACTATAGTTGGTCTGTACCTTGTAGAAGCAGTCTTGCTGCCGTTCAAAAGGCGGAACGCGGGACCTGTATAAATTTGTTGCACGAGTCATTTGATTGTGCTCTCATTGCTTGGTCGAGTAGCTTAGTCAAAATATTCCAAATGATACATCTTCAGTTGCGTGTACGTTATCTTTAAACTGGGTTGATACTTTCAATTGGATTTTGATATTTGTGTTCCACCTCAGTGGTTCTCCTTCACCTACACAACCCAGTGGAGGGCTCATATAGACATTTGAGACATCTAATTGGAAACGAGACCAATCTCGATTCGCATCTCAAGGGATTCGATCATGAGCTAAGGCTTGTTTGGAAAACCAATTTTGAAATATCCTTTAAGAATTGGGATTGAATGGCTTGTTATACCGTTTCAATGTCCAGGGCCTGATCCATCTTGGTCACCAGACAGCATATAAGATCTATGACCTCTTTTTACATATGACTATTTTTGTACAAGCAGCGTATTATTTCTATACATGCATATTCTTACGGTTTGTTTTGTTTCACAACTGTACAGGAGCATTTACATAGTACTGGGAGTATAAACCAGTCAGTAAAGTTAATCTATACAGATAACTTTGCACAACTTTGAGCAGATGGAACGAACTGGATGTAGGATCATCGAGCAACGGTGCCAACGCCATCTCCGAAAAGAATATTTTTCACAGGTGGAGGAATCCAAGCTGGGTTGTTGTTGGTATTCTGACCTTCAATATGATGTTGAGTTTCACAATACACTAGGTTGTTGCCTTGACCCTTCTTCACCTTTGATCTTCCCACCTTCCCAAATGCAAACCCCAGCTTCATTGCTGTAAACAGGCCAAATGCAATCAAAAGTGGTTTAACTGACCAGTGGAAATCCTCTAGATGTTGGTATTTTTTCACCATTCCTGGACAAGTGCTAAAATTAACTGCCTCGACTTCGGCTGGATTGGCCATATATGTATCGCATTCTTCTTTAAAAGTGAGAATTCCAGGGAACTTGACCATGAGGCAGCCATTGGGTAGGATCCACCAAATCCTCCCTGTAGCCCAAACGCCTCCCTTTTTACGAGGCCATTTGAACCGCGGCCTCAGGATGCTGGCTTTTATCCGTACAAATTGGCCAACGCAAAACGACTCTGCCATCTGAAACTGGGAAGAGTTTCCCTTCCATAGAGTTTCTACACCAATAAAAGCAACAGCTACATTCCCACCACGGTCGATTGAATGAAGGATCCCCACTGGAGAGTGCTTCTTTTCTTCTTCCTTTAAACGAACCCAGTCACCAGGAGCAAGCCCGAAACTCACCCGCTCGAGTGTCGAAGCATACACTCTTACTGGATCATGGATTCCGCGAACCCTCACCAAGACAAAAGCATCCTTACCCGTTTCCCGCTCCAAACCCACTATCCTTCCTTCAGGGATATTCATATTCTCTGGTTTGCAAGAGTTTAATAGCTTTCTTGAACGCACCATGTCATTCACTTGCAATTGATCCTTTGAGAGAAGCCATTCAGTATGCCCAATGGCACTTGATTTATTCAACACTTTTGAACTCCCAATGCCTTGCCAGTCGCTATTAACAACATGTTGAGAAGAGCTACAAAGCAAAATTAACTCCATCAAATCAACTATTTAAGTTAGAAGAGCAGCCACTATAAATCAATTTGGCGTTATATCTCTCACTATTACTTTCATCTTCTCCCCTAAGGATCATAAAGAAACGCACAATGGAATTTTTCAGTCTCTACATACAGATAAGGTACTTCTAAGAATCTTTTGCTCCCCGAATCTTATAACAGGTATTGTTCAGTAAAATGCTATGGTTAAATGCAGGTTCTGCATGAATTTGAACAGGGCACAACAAGAGAGCGGGTGGCCGTGAACTGGAATATCGCTTCTTGGCTTCAAAGGTTAGATTGTAGTCATTATTTTCATAACATCTTCTCTATAAAACATGCTTATCATCCCTTAACTGTATCTCAATTCTGTTTAAGTGGTCAAAACTTAAATTCCAAAAATTTAAATGGATAGTACAGAAAGAAAGAAGAAAAAGAATAGAAAGAAAGCCATAAACCTCTTACAATCTGAAGAAGGAAGCACTTTTGGATTAGGGCAATCATATTTCATGTGAAAACAAAGCAATCATGGACGAGATGACATACCTTTGGAACACATGTAATAAGTCTGCCATTAGAGGACGACTCCTCAAGTCATACTCGAAGCAACCAAGAAGAACATTCTCAATAAGAGGAGGAAGTCCACTAGGAATACACGGCTTTTCTTGTTTCCTAACAACAGAATGAAATATTTCATCAACCGATTTCCCTCGCCATGGCTGAACACCAGTCAACATCTCAACCACGCAGCAAGCAAACCCCCACGAATCAGTTTCATAGGATATCGGTCCTCTTACTTCTGGCTGCCATTGTTCTGGTGCCATATAGTTAGGTGTCCCAAGTCTCTGAATCACATCCGAATTTGGTATCGGAATACCATGCAGTAGATAAGGAATTCCTAGATCTCCCAAAATTGCTTGGTCATTGGTAGTAAGGAGCATGTTTGAAGGTTTCAGGTTAAGAACTAAGACCTCTCTCGTGTGCAGTTCCAAAATCCCCTGGGCTAGATTGATTCCATATCTGTAAACAAGGACCATAGACGGAGAATTTTGCCCCAAAAATAGTTGTGGATTAGTTCATGAAACAGATAGAACTTAGAACTTAGAAGCACTAACTATAAGAGTGGCAGAGATTTAGCAACTTCTTTTTCGACCTAAAGATTCGAACCCATATCAGTAAATCACCTCAATACATCAGGGAGCGAAAGCTTTCCCTCTTTAAGGCAAGCCATTTTATCAGCAACTGATCCTTCATAGAATTTCATGATGATGCATAGCTATAAGAACACACAAGCACAGCAATATTTCAATTTTTAACAACCTACACATACATTTCCAACAAACTTTCCCTATAATGCAACAGCTATAGTCTACAGATACCCGAATTACCTTCCCGTTAATTATCGACACTCCATACAGCCCGCAGACGCCTTTCGCACCTTGACACTTATAGAAATGATCCTCAAGTTTATCCAACACACCCCTCACATGATCCTCTTTAACTGGATTCAACATCTTGATTGCTACTTCATGGTATTCATCATAATCCTTAGTGGACTGATGGTGAGTTGCTAACCAAACGTCCCCGAACCCGCCCCGCCCAATTCGATGCCTAAGCTTGACCTTTGAAGGCTCAATTCTAGGGTTTAGATTGTTTGATGAAGCAACCACTGTTCTGACATGATCAGGATCTCCATCAAGAAGCTCATACTCAAACGAAGGAACCGCTTGAGAACCAGCAGCATCTTGTTCACCACCCGCCATTCCTCAACCTTAAACAACACCCACAGAAAAATGCATCACATCAAAAACAAAAACAAAAACAAAAACAAAAACAAAGAACTGGAATCAAGTCTTCACATAGAAAACCTTGATCTCTATGAGCTCAAAAAAAATTAAGTATCAGAAAAAACCAAACCCAACTGGAAAAAACAAAGAATTATAACAACGGAAAGAGAAAAAAAACCCACAATCAGGCTGAATAAGTCAGCAGAACGAAATCCAATGAACTACGATTACCCTGTGCTGTGTGGGAACAAAAAGCAGAGATAGAACAGGAAGCACTTTTAGAGGAAGCAGAATTGAAAGTGAAAAGAGAAGAGAAAAAGGATACCGAAGGGAGAAATTGGGACTGGGAGGAGGAATTTGTTGGAACTAATGAAGAATCATGAGAGTGAGGGTGTCGTGGAGACGAAATGGCGAAGGAGAGGAAATCGAGAAAAATCAATTATTATTTATTAGTTTTAGTTTTAGTTTTTTTTTTAATTATTAT